TGCTCGGCTGACTAACGGGCGGTTGCTCCAAGGGCTCATCCCGGTCCTCCAACTCAGGTTTTTCGTTGCACAGGCTGTGAGCATGTGGTGAACTGCTCGACGTTGAAGAGGATCGGTAGGGTAGTGCTAAAGGGTGCGTCGGGGCAATAATCGATCGCAGAGGGTAGACCCTCCCAGGGCCACTGAGGCAAAGATCTGTCGAGCTCGAATTCGCGGCAGTCTCTGGTGGTTGGTGATCGGGATGCGCATCTGCTTCAGGAGACGTCTCTGGCATTCTGGGATGGCCTCAATTCACAGGATTTGCTATGCAGGAAAGAGAAAAAAAACGATCATATTTTCTCGCAGCCAAACGAGCCCTTAACAAACGATCGAGGTCTGAAAGGTAGACTAACTATGGACCATGGACCAGGGGGTGAAGGGGAATGGATGATATCATACCCAGCGGCGGTGTTTGTGGCTTGCTTGGGCTTGCTTGTCCGGGCTGGGCTGGGGTGGGTGGGAGTTCAGTCAAGTCTTGACTTGTTGGCCCTGGTTGTTGTCGTCGTCGGACTGGCACTGGCACTGACTGAACCTGGTGGCTCCACCGGATCACCGATTATTCATCAATCCCTCCGACGAGCAATCAGATTCCTCGATTGAGGCTTCTGATTGATCAGATTTGGTCGCGGGGAGGTCGATTCACTCTACGGCAGCCACTGCCACCAATCAGTCGCTGCAAGTCGAATCTAGTGTGAGCCCTCGATTACCTGAGCCGAAAAGCTAAGTGGTGGTCAAAGTATGAAAAAGTATGGAAAGTATGGAAACATGGAAACCTAAGTTAATGTTGACTGGCACCCTCCGTTGGGGTCATCCGACATGGGCACTGCAGCGTAGCGCAGTACGGAGTTCAAAGTACTGTGCTATCAGCCGGGCTGGCATGCCAATCGATGGCGGATTCGGTCCATTCTGGATGCCACCTTACGGCTTCGTCACAGTATCTTTATCTTCTATTTTACCTATCATGCTGCTGACTAGAGGCAGGACTGAGGGAGAGGAGCAGTGGATGAAGCTGTGCAGCGAAAGTTTCGCGAATGTAGGGCTCAGGAACAATCGACCGATGCCCACCCCACTAGACCCCCAATGCTGTCTCCAATTGGCCCATCTGGTCGATGCGGGCCAGGTGAACGCATCTAGAACATTGGCCTCCATTATATCAAGGTTGAGACTCGCTCTTTCTTTCGGTCTTTTTCAGAGTGTACACACTTAATCTGCCAGTAGGAGCTATCTCAGTACTAGAACTCTCAACAATTGCTCTTCAGAAAAACCCTCAACCAAAGAATGTCCGAGGTTTGGACTTGGAAATTGGATGGCGACTGGTCTGATACAGCACTGCATTTCTTCCCCCCCCCCCTCCTTTCCCGCCAGGAAAATTCCCCTGTTCACCGCCGAGGCAGGCAAAAACCACCGCAAATCATTTTCAAGTTGTTATGAGTTGGATTCAGGCTAGCCCGCTTTGGGACCGACTACCGGTCACTTGGTAAGTACGGAGTACGGAGTACACCTAGTTCTAGCTCCAGGAAAATAGTCCCGAGTTTTTGCACATCAGAAATGGAAGGTGCCTAATGTATCCGGGAAGTTTTCATAGGCCAGTTCGATTTCGACGTGCGACATGCCGGGAGCCGTTCTCCATATTCAAGTTGATTGGGACCTTGGTAAAGAGGTTTTCGGCCAACGGAGCGGCGGCCACACGTATCTGCCCCGTTCTTTTCCTCGATTTCCTCTGGATATGCTCCTGCGAGAGGGAAGAGGTGGTGAAGCGATGGATGGATAGATGGGTGCACCAGTGGTGTAGTACAGACATATTATGTGAGTATGTAGTACGTGGTACGGAGTAGACGGGAGCGATCCTTCAAGATGCTACTAGCGCCAGCAATACACATTCCTCATTCCAGGTTCTCAACGGTGGATGCGCATAGCCAGTCAAGTTTCGGAAGGGCGGGAAGGGGACTGGACCTCGGACTGACTCACTGAGCGACGTGCGGCCTGGACATTCAAGTCCCGCCAAGCCGGCCTGCAAGGACTCCAATTTCGGGTTTACTCGGTCTTATTTCCTACGCTAAGTTTTAGTACTATGAGTAACTTTAACTCCCGATAACTACAACAAGTACTCTGTAGGCAAGGCTAACAACAACAATGCTAATGAATGAACAAAATGCGATTAATAATGTACAGATGATGCGACCGCTGTGCATCCACCACCTCCACCACTAGCACCACCCGAACAGTCAATGTACTCCCTCAGTGGACTCCGTAGCTTCGCAACGAATCAATGCACCAGGTACCCTTGCGGATAGTGGAAATTCTTCCGACTCAGCTTCCACTTGGACCACGGGAACTTCTCTTCGTACTGCGCGTATACGGTATCCTTCCCGGCGACCAGGTTATGAATATTCAACCGGGTGCTATACATCAGGTTCCAGGCCTGGGCCTCGTGCCACTCGTCGGTGCCATTGTGGATGTCCGAGTCCTTGGAGGCGGGGCCCGCCGCCCGGTAGGTGCCGACGAGGTTGGGGAAGGGGGCGAAGCATTCGATCTGAGGGCGGCCGTCCTTGCCGCCGCACAGGTCGCCCATGGAGTTGTCGACGGCGGCGACGATGCGGTCGACGGCGAGGGCCGCCAGGATCCGCTCCGCCCCGCGCTTGGTCACCGCGTACCCGTACGTGCAGCACCCGTACTCCGCCCGGTAGACGAACCGCGTCGACGTCTCCGGGAACTCCGGGTACTGCGTCTTCCACTCCTTGAGCGGTCCGCCCCAGGTGCCACGGTGGTCGATGCTGGGCGCCGTCGGGTCTTGCGGAATGGCGAAGAACTGCGTCTCGTTGGCCTTGGCCGCTGACGCGCACCCGCCGATCCAGAGCACGTCCCAGTTGGTTCCGTAGGGCGCCTGCCGCGACCCGTGCGTGTTGCCCGTCAGCGCCCGCACCCCGCGCGCGAACTCCCGCAGTTGCTGCTTGATAAAGATGTCCCAGTCCGCGTCGTCTTCGAGGATGAGGGCAGTGGAGTACGAGTTCTCGACCACTCTGTCGGGGGTGGTTTGTTAGCTGTGCTCATTATTGCTAGCTCCGGAGCCGTGGGGGGGGGGAAGAGGGAAGGAGATGCCGTACTTGGTGAGTGCGTTCATATGTGCGCGCCAGCAGCCGATTTCGGATGGCTTGAGGCTATTTTTCTAGATGTCACAATATGCATCAATTCCAGATCTTCATACGGGGGTGGTCTAGAAAGAAACTCACGTTTGGTAAGGACTTCTGATTGATCTCCGTCGGTCGCACCCCGTCCAACCATTCGACCTGAAAGCCCGCCATCGAGGCAGCTAATGTGAGGAAATCGCGTTTGTCCGTTCGTTCCTTCAACCCGATCGCGAAGATGTGTTCGAACTAGATAGAGACTCGTTAGCATCGAAGCCTTCGATCTGGGTATGTGGACCGAACGCACCCCCAGCGTTTCGTTCTTGATGTGCTCGAAAGCCTGGTCTTCGAAGTAACTCCGGGCCATATCTACTCCATCCGTGGCCCAAAACCTCCGCGCCGACTGACTGAACAAGAAGATCAAGAGCCCATAGCTGAATAGGGCGGCAATCACAATCCGCGAGATCTGTGTTCTTCCGCGGATCATCCTGTCGACTCGAACGGACACTGAATCTTTGGTGCTAGCTAGGTGGTGGGTTGTCGGAGAGGCCGCGGCGAAACATGGGGAGATGGCAAGAGAAAGACATTTGCATGATGGGATGCGCAGGACAAGTTGCACTCGAACTTCATCTTAGATAAGTCGTTGACTGCAAACGTTTTGACTTTGGTAAAGGGAGACTTGGCCTCTATGGATGCGGGCATGGGCAGCATTCCTCGGGGGCTGGGGCGGGGGCGGGGGATACAGGGAGGGATGCCGAATGCGGAAGGCCCTGCATAGTTCAAGTTCCATCAGTGACTGGGGACTCGGTCGGAGATGAACCTGGAGATCTCTCCATAAAGTCCGCTGTTTTGGGATTAGTGTGTGATCGGACAAAGAATATGGGTCGATGTGCCTGATGATGTACTTTAGACTACAAACTTGGCAGTCCCTGACTGATGCAGTGGATGGATCCAGGGCGGATCCAGGGCTTGGGTCATCACGTCATGATCAGAGCTATGATGTCATACCACTTCGCTCTCGAACAGTCATGTATATGCCTTAATGTTCAGGCATCAGATAAGCGGGTAGATCAACAATTATGCAAATATGGCCTTCACCAGGTACTTGAATAGGTACTTGAATGGGCACTTGAAGAAGGTACTCGAGTATGTACATAGATAGACCATCAAGTAGCTGCATAGATCAGCTCTTGAACAGCTCTAAAGACAGGCCGTTGTTCCTGATCCACCACCACACCCGCTAAGGAATGATCCGAAGAGATTGTCCGCAAAGAACTTTCGGCATCCACCTCGATAAACAGAGGCGAGACGCCCTTGCATCCGTTCCAGAGACGGAAATCGCCTTGGTGGATATTGGTAAGGACCTCGCAATTGAACACGGGTCCCAAATGCTCCTTCGAATCTCCGAGGACAACCGGTTTTCGTAGGCAGGCGTAAAATATATACATTCGCTGCAAAGCGCCAACCCTCACATGCCCTCGCTGCCCCTTCTTTGGGTTTGCCCCTAATACATAGTCAAGATAAGTTAGTCACAAGTTTGTGGTGTCGTGTAGACTTGGAGGCACTGACCTTAAGAGTTTACAGAAGGGATATGCCTCCGCACAACATTTCGAGTTGTCTCGCGCATCTGACTGGGAGCTTGTTCGTCAACTCTGACCATTTGGAGGGTCTTCATGCGCAATCCTCTGAAGCCCTTGGTTGCAAGTGCTTCCAGGATTATTGGACGTTTGCAAGCCCGGTGATCTCAGATAGATGATCCTCCAACATGAGATCACTCCATTGATACCGCCCGCCTGCGGTGGTTGCATACAGGGCCCAGCTTGCTCAGAAAGAGCCCTAGCAGGTCTGATAGTGCCCAATAACTGAGTCCATCGTGTTCAAAATCTTTGAGCCGGAATGCTGCTCGAGCAGCTGGCCAACGGGGGTCATCTTCTCGGTCGACATTCTGCGGTGGAACTGGTGCGACGCAATCGCCGCCATCTGGAGAGCTTTCGTATCGCTTAGCTATAGACACAATCGCTTTCACAGAGACACAAAGCTTACTGGAGGCGCACTATGTCCATGTTCATCTGAAGGAGGATGGGCCTGTAGTGCCCTGGGACTCCGTACTGCGCGGACTTGTCTACGATGTCCTTGAGGCACGTAACGATCTGGTCGAGGCACGCAATAACCTGTTCGCAAGGAGACGCGTAGGCCCTGTCGCCATTCAGCCATGGAAGAATTTGATCACCCGTGGTTAGATGTGCTCGAGAATGCCTTAGATTCCACGTGCTTCTTACGAGGCTGCCATGAATGCTAAGCCTGGGTAGAGGAGAAGACACTTCGCGAAATTGACAAAATATGCCATCATTCGAGCAAACCATCGGCTAAATGGATACTAAGCATTGCTATTCCTCGAGTCGTGAACCGCTCTTGTCGAACGTACATGGTGCATCAAGGCGCATCGGGGTCAACCGGAACAAACAGATTGGGCCCTTCGCTTGTGGCAGACCGTGTATCCTCCTCATCACCAGGAGTCCACACCGGCTTTAGGGTCTTCATACGGAGGCCCCTGAGTCCCTTATCACGAAGCGCATGGACTATTCCTGACAACGTCTTGGGCCTGGTGATCTCTTCCAGATGAAGAAGCTCGAAATGGCCCCAGTAGTACTTGCCCTTAGAAGCCATAATATACTGCATCTCTCCCGACTCGGGAGTGCCCATCAAAACCATTCGGGGATCTTGGATTCCGCAGCAGCGGGCCAGATCGGCGTCTTGACATTTAGGATCATCGTAAATCTCCAAGAGTTTGGGGTCATTAGTCCAGTCTTCGGGGATGTCCTCAGCAGAGAATCCTGGGCTGTCTTGGTTATCATAGTGCCCCCGATATCGAGGTTCAGGCTGCGCGGCTGGCACTTCGCGACTAGTTTGGGACTGACAATTGTCAGCCTTGGCTCGTAGACTGAGCAAAATGTGGCCGAGGACACAGATAAAGAAAGGATATTGGTTTTGAAGCAAAGAGAGAGAGAAGCAGGTGGCTTTATTTTGGAGAGGTATAACTCGGTCCAAGGATAACTGCTTCGAGGCATGAGAGAGGGAAGAAATAAACCCAGGTGCCAGATTCAGTGTGAAGTGTATGTGTATGTACCATTCCCCGTTCTTTCGTAGAATATTAACATATAATATTAGGAAGGTCAATTACTTACTCGGGTCTTCACCATGTTGCTAGATCTTGATAACAGGAAGTAGATTGGAGTTGAAGCAATGTAGGATAGGATGGCCAGTTGCTAAAGATTGGTGTCTATGAATACTCCGGACTACACTTCCGGGTGAATCGCCAGGGTACTCTCATAGTTGCCTGGATAACAAGGCATAGATTCACATGAATAGTTGCGATCCAGCAATGAAATTCACAATAACCGCTTTCACATAAATGGATTTAATTCACTGGTTCGAGGGGGTAGTTGTAGTATGCCCTGTACGATTATCACTATCACTTAGGCGATGGGTCCCATGTTCGCGGACAAGCGAACCTCAAGGACGTGGGATAGGGGACGAATTCAGGCTACGTGAGGCTACCTGAGAGGAACTTACAACATGCATGGCCGCCAGCAGCCTGGCTATCAAGGCCTCAGGGCCGCCGACAGAATCCATATAACAATTCATCACCCTCCGCTACAGTCGTGGCTATGTTGAATTGGAACTGGTACCAACTTAATCGTAAGTTCAATTGATGTGCCCTCCGGGTATATTATGATAAAAGAATGGTCATAAGTGGTTGCTATGCTGTATGGTGGTGCTCTGTACATTTTCATAGGTAAACACGGCTTTTAAGTCAACAGTGCTCGCAGTTCAGAAGGCTGTGCGTGCATTGTTCATAGAATTGGAGGCGCCACAAAGGAGTCCGGAATCCCATCAAAAACCCAATTCAGGGAATCGAATACCTCGGAGAAGCCTGCCTCGCTGATGAAGGCGCCTTGATCGAAGTTTGGAGTGTATATCAGGTTTGTGCTCTGCAAAGACTCGTCCTGCGGCCGTGAGAGAGGGCCAGTGAGGGGAGCCACATTGGGATTGGCCATGGTAGCTGCGACATATCAATCTCATTGCCCCTGTAAATCCGAGGAAGCAGCAAAAACATACCTTGCGTGTCTTCCACGCTCTTCATCGGGCGGAATCGCTGGCGCCACCGCCACACGGTATCGTAAACATGGCTCATGCTCATGCGACAACGGATCTTGAGCTGCAATGCGTCACCACCGGCGGGATCTTCTGGACTGCCTGCGTTCCACATCTGCGCCAGGATATCGGCCAGGCGGACGGGACGGTCGTGGTCCATGACGCTGATGCGGCGGATAGCCGAGATGGCTCCGTTGAAGAGAAGCTTTCCGTGTTCAAAGTCGATGTGGCGACGGAAATCGCTCTTCAAGAGCTTCATGAGCGCGAAAGCGGCTGAGACGATCATTTGTAGGATGTAATTGGGAGCGTGGCCGATAAGCTCGCCGGGTGAGGTCTCGAGATCGAGTACTCGTCCGAGGAAGGAAGTGGTTGCGATGAACAGCTTTGTTAGGTCGTCGCTTCGGGCGTTAGAGCCCAGGAATACGAAATACCGTAGGTGCAGTTCGGCCGCTCGCAGGTGGATCATGTTGATGTCTGGAGAATTAGTTCGAACTCAGCAAAGGCGAACCGGGCCATGCATGACATACTGGAAATGTCCCGGCCAAAGTCGACTTCCATATCTCTCAATTCATTCTCGAGAAGCTGTACAATCAGCAGCTTCTCCGAACTGATGAACTCGGCAGGGTCAGGTTTGCTGCTGTACAATGCTTTTGTGACCCGGTCACAGAACTTTTCGATTCTGAGCCGAGTCATCAAGTCATGCGAAGGGTGGTAATCGGCGTCTCGCAGTGAAGCGGGCTCTAGGGCCCAATCGTAGATAGTTGACGGAGGCTGCCCGTAACCGGTAGCGACACTGGACAAATAGAGTCAATAGTTGGATCCGGCGGCAGGCTTGAAAGCCACTTACTTTTGGGCTACAATGTTACAAATAACCCATGTCTGCAAGCGATCTTTGACAGCTTCCCCTTGTACTTCCATGCGGAAGGTTGTGAACTCCTCAGCTTGAACCGGACGATGTAGCCCCAATTGCATGGATATCTGCATCATCAGTCCGCTGAGCATAAAGGTAGCATCGGTCCGTTGGCTGGTTGTTGGCAACGGCCAGGTGCAGAGGAGGCAGAGTGCCTTGACCACACGGTAGTCTTGTGGTACACCAGTAATGGTGGACCAGAGCAGCCGACTAAACGGCCCGGAGAGTGCGCTGAGGAGACCCGGCTCAGAAGGTGCTCGTCGACTAGCAACACAGATGATCGTCCATGCCTGCAATGGACAACGACGCATATATTCGTCTGGGGGCTTCTGTGGATTCAAAAGAGGAAGAAAGGGATGATAATATTTGAAAAACCTTGCCAATCATAAGTAACTTTGTCCAAGATGCTACTGCATGCACAGGGAGAGAATCGTACTGGTCAAACAACCGTGCTACTCGGGCTCGTGATAGCGAGACGTCCTCTAATATCCACGGATTGTCATCCTGGGACAAGATGGAGGCATCTCGATGGATGGTCAGCGGAGTAGCGATGGGTTGCGGGTCCAGTGGAGCCGACAACGGCCGTCCTTTGATGCCAACAGTGGCATCTGGAGAACAGAACACATCCTCCGAACATTGAGACAGCTCGTCACTGGCGTTAGCCTCCCCGGGCTGGGGATGCTCTCCACTGGCAAGCCGACGGCGGAGATCCGCAATTTCTTTTTCCATTTCGGCATTGCGCCTAGACAGCTAGTGTTCAGCCAAGAGATGAAACATAGGTAAGACATGCTCGGAAGGCCTTACCGGCGTTTGGAGATCCGTTTGAAAGTGGGCTCAACCTTGCATTCTATTTGGAGCCGCCGGCAGCGTGAGCATGCGTCAGCGGGCGTTTGCACAATATCACACCGAAGCTGCGGGGTCGGGTAAGCCTATGTTCAGCCAGTTTGTCTATATAGAGGGCACGAGAAGGGTGAAGCGCAGTAAGCAATATCCAGTGAACAATATCCTTTAGACGATGTTGAATTTTTTGAACGGATACATCAATATGCACAGCTGGTCGATGGGTCCGAATGGAATGCAGGATGGAATGCGATATGACAGGTATAGCCAGACAGACTAACTTACCTTCTGCTGCTTACACTCATTACAGGCCTTCCTACAACCACCCCGCCGTTTGCTCGGGACGGCGGGGATCTTGTTCATGGCGCCAGGTTCCGAGGGTCTGGGGGAGAAATCAAAAGCTGTCATCGGCCGGGGAAGCCTAAGATTGTTCCGAAGGTCGCTGGTGGTGGCCGGAGGCGTTAAGAGCGAGGCATGTGTAGCCAACCCATTCGGCGCGAGAATCCCTCGGTACTCCAAATCCATCAGAGTATAATTCCAATAACGCCCGATGAAATACCGTGGGACCCGTTAACACATGCAAAGGCGACTCGGGGAGAGAAGGAGGGGTGCAGCGAACGTGGTGAACCAGGCGTTCAGGTGCCGGAAATCGGCAGAAAACTTTTGGGCTGTGGGCGGCCGCGCAGATCGCGAAACTCGGCAGTTCCTGCTGACTCAGCTATGTCTCCTGATGCCTCGAATATCAGGCGACAATAATGTAGAAGCTTTACTGTAACTAACTGTTGACAGCTAATTTACGACCCACTCCCGATAAGCGATAAGCAGCAATGAATCTGCTGGAATTCATCACCGAGGAGATCAACCCCGGAAACCGATCGATATCAATGAAAAGCGACAGTCATTAATTATGTTGCTTCCATTACTAAGAAAGCATAAAAAAGTTGCCTGTTCCGCCCTCCGCGGCCTTTCGATGGTTTCCCCTGTTGTCTGCCTTGTGCTCCTCCCTTCCCCACAGTACTGTATACCTAGGTAGCAAGTACTACCACTGTCAGTGCCTTGACTACTCGCCCTCAGATCGGTCCAACATTTCACCATTACGCAACTGGCTCCCTCGAGAGTAGTATCTGCACAAGCCCAGTGAGATGGACCATCAAGTAAGTCGCAAGCTATAAAATACCCGTAGTACAAAGCGAGGGAAGTGTACTGTCGGCACCTGCGTGATCTCTGTTTATCCTCCTGTCCATTCTGATGGAATCTAGTCCGAAGCCATTCCCGAAGGCTGGACCAATGACCCACACCACCTCGAGCTCTATTTCGACCACAACAGCTTGGAAGCCTACCGGTCCCGATGCTTCGGCATCGTGGACGCTAAGATTGTTCTGTTAGGTCCCAAGGATATGGACTAAATCATTACCTCAGGCGGGCGTTACTACTGGGGAGATTTCATGCTTGAAGATCATTTGTCTGAAATCACCTGGCCTACCACCTTCGCGGGAATTCTGAATGCACTCGCAACCAAGGGCTTCAGCGGAATGCGCTTGAAGGCACTCAAGATGCTCAAAATCGACGAAAAACCTCCCAACAAGGTGCCACCAGAGCACGAAGCAAACCGGGTCCTATTTGTCCCCGCGGAGGATGTTCCAGAATCAAGTCGCACAACCTAAGTACCCTCCCTGGCTACGCCAATCACAACTCACAGTGAGTCGAAATTATTGCTCCAAATTCAACGATAATGGTTGATGAATTATTCTGTCGGTTTCAACCAATCACTCGCGATGCTGGGGCTCTCTTCCATGTCCTATGGTGTGTAGACAGCACGTGAAAGTCTTGGTGAGTTGTAGTCTGGATGGCCAGGAAGGCTGAGTTATGAATAGGCTTTCAGCTACCTATACCTAGTAGTTGAGAAGTGCTTATAAAGGTGGAGATACGGGCCCTGCTGGGCGCTTCGACATCACCTCGGCCTCGGGAAGCATCCGCAGGTCAGGCCCTCGAACATACCATCTTCCTGAGCCACTTGACTTAGTAAAGTCATATGTTTACAATTCATGCTCAGATCATTGCAACTATCAAGGAACAGAGTACTCTACTAGGTTGAAGGTATTACTACATCAGCGTCCTTCCTTAGGGAATACTGTACATAACCTCTTACTATGTACTCCGTACAATGGACCCACAGCGATTCACAAGGCGGTGAAGCTATTGAGTATTGATTCTGCCACGTGGGAGGCGGTCAGCCTGGCCGGGCCCATTGTCAATCCACCGTCAATCATCCCACGCCCCTTTAGAGAGTTCCAGTTGGGCGATCTGTCTTCCTCACGGAGAACGTGGGCGTCCTATAGATCAGCCACTCCACGATGGCACACCGCCAGATTACCCGGCAGCTCCTTGCCGGCGCATGCATCACTATCTTTCTAATCTTTCTCTTCTTGATCCAACCTCAAGGTCCGCCGAGTCCCGCCACTCGGGCTCCTGGCCACCTCGACAAATCCGCGCCGGCCGTGGTGTCCAAAGATGATCTGATCAAAGGGGAGGTGGTGATGCCCAAGCTTGGGAATGCGACGGCAAAGTGAGAATCAAATGAATCTCTGTTTTGGAATCTGTCATCATGCTAAAAGGATTGTTGTCGGAAACTGTAGGGCGGAATTAGGCCGTGCGACTTGGAAATACTTCCATACCATGCTGGCTCGGTATCCCGAAGATCCGACCGAGGAGCAGCAGGAAACCTTACGCTCTTTTATCTATCTCTTTGCGCGACTCTATCCATGGTATCGTCGCCCTCTTGCACCTCCATTATTGCTGCATACTGACTGGGGTCTCTTCCTAGTGGCGAATGCGCCTCGCACTTCCAAGGTCATTTGAAAAAGTATCCCCCGCAGGTCTCGTCGCGCAATGCGGCTGCTGGATGGGGCTGCTTCATCCACAACGAGGTGAACATCATGCTCGAGAAACCTGAATTCGACTGCAACAATATCGGCGATTTCTATGACTGCGGCTGTGCGAAAGACGAAGAGGACGAGGATGAGGATCTGACCACAAACAAGGATCTGCCCAGTGCGCGGAGGGAGGCCGATAGTGACGACGCACTGCCGCTGGTCGAGATCAACAGGGAACCGTTCGTGCTCTCCTCGTGTCCCATGATCATGGATACCTTGCTGATCACATCCCACTATAGGACTACTCGAGGTTGAACGCTGCGCGCCCTTATCTCGACATCTCTGACCCATTCCACTCCCTTGTGACTTATTCTCTTTCTTTCACATTATACATACTCTCCGCCAGTGCCGGATCGCTGGGTGCACTGAGCCGGTTCGTGCACGGTAGTTTCAGTTGTATATACCATTACAACATTCATCTTCAAAATACCTACATACCACGGCCCTGGAGCTTCATCTTGCACAAGGGCCTCAAGTTCGATCCGGGTTGCGATTCATAGTAGTGGTGGCTTGACTGTAACTACTTGCCGAGAAGACGTCGCCTAAAAGCCTTGGGCACTAAATGTACCACAGGTTTAATATCGCATGCGAGGTAGACGGCAAACCGGAGGGATGACGTCTTTGTGTCCTCTACTGCTGGACGAACCAGTCATGGGTCGTCTGAATCCTGATTGTGCATTGCTGCCCTGACATGGGCGCATGGCTCTTGCGAAGGCACCCCCAAATCTCACATGAGAACTGTTTAGTGAGGGCTCACCGATGCTCTACACTGTAGAAGGCAGGCCTGGATAGATGGTGTGGAAGCTGCATGAAAGGGTGTGAAGCATGCACCATGGTGCGCATGACGAGAGTGGAACCCTCATGCCGGCCGCGGCTGACCATTCAGCGCAAAAGTACTGTGCATCTCAGCTCCCACATGGACTCCCGGAGGAATTTCTCCCGTGCCCGTGGGAAGCATTGACTCCAGATGTGTAATTTTCCAGACAGCGACAAGCAACAGTATCCATTTAAGATGGTGACAAGGCTGAAACCAGCGTCGCAACATCATAAATGCCATATGCTTCAAGCCCTCGTTTTGGCGCTGAGCGCTATATATAGCTAGCCCTTCGTGATGTCTTGTCGCTTAAGAAGCAAAGTTGTAGCTTTCGACCTCGGACTGAAAGTTTATTGCGCTGCATACCGACGATCACTGCGCCCCGATCCTATGAGAGGGGAGGCTTTGAGCACAATCGAGAAGAAAGCCACTCGTATCTTGGTGGATAGGTTTCTTTTATTGTCCGGCAGAAGGCGTCGGCCCCTTGATTGCAGGGGCTAGAGTGACAGATGGGCTGCGAAGAAGGGTCGAGGTGAGCGGCGACTGGCGGATGCGCAGGGCCAGCAGCAAATGTACGGTGTCTCCTGACAAGTCCGTGTTGGTGGTTCGATGCACAAGCGCCACATTCCCCCCCTGTGCGCCCCTTCTCCTGCTTTGATCAAGTGGTCAACTGGTCAAGATATGCATTGCAATGGGTGTCCTGGTGAGATGAAGAGATTGCTTGAGCCGGTCTTGCCATTGTATCCACTACAGAAGTGTATTCCGAATACTTGTTGAACGATTCCATCACATTTGGTGTTGCACTGCGGGGAGGCAGGATCCGTGCCTGATTGGAAAGGCAGCCAACATCTCGAAGAGGGACTAGTCCCCAACAGGCTTAGCCTCTTCCAGACATTGATTTGAGCGGGTTTTGTTTTGGCGGCGCAGCGCTTTCTGCTACACATGATTTACACATACTTTTCTTTTTTTAAAAGAGAACGCGCCGGGGAACGAGGACGGCGCAAAAGCTGACACAAAGTCCTCGAGTTTCAAACCACAGGGTTTCAGAATCGTCCCCACGCGATTGCTCAACTATTCTCTTTTGCTTTTTCTTCCCTCTGTCATCTTACATAGCACAATCTCGTGTCTGTCCCGTTGTCCCGGACAACAACCTCAGTGTAACCGACAGTCTGACTACCGACAATACGGAGTGGGAGTGGGCTGGTCCTCTGGGCTTGTTCAGGTCCGTTGCGGGTCCTCCGAAAGTCTGTCTAGCTTAATTCTGCTGGATCCCCATCCACTTCATCCACCGGACTTATAATTTTCCTCTTCTTTTTTTCCTTCTCATATCGGCGCAGGTCTCAAGTCGCGCATCGAGACTTCTCCAACAAATCGCGGTGTAATCCAGCGGATCTTCACAAGATGGTTTCATTTTCTTGCGAGGTGAGTCGCGCAACATCGCCGCCCACTCTCATCCCCTTTGGAGAAGGCCATTCTGGTCACTGAACAACGGCGTGTGCTAATATGCGACGATCCCAATAGGCGTGTGGTGATGTCCTCACCAAGAAGAAGCTCGATCCCCATCGCAACCAATGTCGCGGCGCTTCCTACACCTGCATCGACTGTATGGTGCATTTCCAGGGAACTAGCTACAGATCGCACACGGTACGGCCATCTTTTCCCTTGGGATTGCCTTTCAATACCTCCTCGTGGACTGGATTGCCCACTATTCCTCTTTGTCGCTGCGTCTACACCTGCAAGACATCGTGCTTTACTCTCTTGTCGCAAATCTACCATACATTTGTTGATTCATGTGAACTACAACTGACTCACCGTGATAGTCCTGCATGTCTGAGGCGCAAAAGTACCAAGGCGCGCTGTACAGAGAGAAGCCGGCCAAGAACCAACGCAAAGGACAGAACAACGGCCGACAAAACCAGAACCAGAACCAGAACCAACAACAGAACCAAAATCAGAAGCAGACCCCCCACGGTCACCGGGCACCTTACGTCGAGGATGGCACCGACACCGATAATCTTCCCCCACCGGCGCCTAGCCCTCCTCCCGCTGGCGTGGAGAAGACCCCGCGCGCCGAAGGAAAGACCGACAAGCCGGTAAATGTCTTCGACTACCTTGTCCCTGAGGGCACCCCCAATGCCTCTAAGGTTTCTGTGAACGAGGCTAAGGAACAGATGAAGATGGTCGCCAACGCGCCTTCGGTCTTCGAGTCAAGCAAGTCGCTGGCTCGCGTTGACACGGATGGCGATGACGACAACAAGACCTACGACGTCGCGTATGAAGAGAATGGATTCTCGTACGGCTCGGGCCCGATCAACCAGTCCCCCTACGACCGCAAGGCCCCCAACGTGTCCATGGAGTTCATGACCCCTGCGCCCAAGAAGAAGAAGGACCGCGCCTCCAAGGCCGAGGGTGCCACGAGCGAGAAGAAGCGCAAGCGCCGCACCGAGGACCACGACACCGAGACCGACACGCCCATGCTGGATGCCCCCTCGAGCGTCGTCAACCACCCCGGCACCCCGATGTTGAACCACTCCGGACTGACAGGAGGACTGAACCGTATGCTCCGCTCCCCGTCGCTGGACGACGAAGAAGGGCACGAGAACTCTTCCCGGCGACGCTATCAGGAAACCTCATCCCCGATCAAGCGGACCCGCCGCGACGAGAAGGAGAACCAAGCCGACGCGGGCCTGGGTATCTCCATGAAGAACCGTGCTGAACGGTTTGTCTCGTCGATGTTCGGGGGCTCCTCTGTCTCTGGTAGCAGCGCCAACGGCCAGCTGGAGACTCGTCGCGCGAAGAAGACCCACAAGATCCGCGAGAATGGCGATGCCAAGGCCGCCGAGTCGGCGGATGCCCGCAAGTCCAAGCGCAAGAGCAGCGCCCAGACCGAAGGGGACCGGCCCTCGCGCCGTCAGAAGCAGATCGAGTACCCCGAATCGCACCACGATGAGGACGGCCGGCAGGTGACGCTGTACCCCAAGAGCACGGTCCCAGATGGCTTGCAACGGCAGATGGCGAGCCACTTCCTGTCGTTGGTGACCAAGGGCCCCGAGAGCTCGCGCGGGTTCTCCGTGAACAAGGTGCTGAAGCGGTTCCACAAGGACTTCACCGATGAATTCGACGCCGACCGGGGCCGCGACCAGGGTCGCAGTCGCGCGGACCGCGAGCGGAGAATCGATGACGAGAAGGAACTGTGGCGTACTCTGCGCCTCAAGATGAACGAGCGGGGAGAGATTGTGGTCTTTTTTTGAGTACCCCCGGGTTTCGAGGCCCCACCCACTTTCATATACCTATGATTATTCTTTTATTCTTTTCTAGTGCATTGCGATCATGGCATGGAGGTTTACTGAAATATCAACGGCTCATTGCATAGTTTTTGTCTATCATGCTTGGCATTATCTATTGGTTTCTTGCCTATGTAGCGTTTTGGATCTCGCAACTGGGTGCCAGTATTGACGTAGTGGCGTTAATAGACGACGCGTGACTAGTGACTAGTCCATTATGAGTATGTCATTGGTGGTATTCGCTTCTCTGACCAATGCGACAACTAGATGTGTCCTGAAACATAGGTTTGTTGGCTCTGCGGAGGCATAAACCGGGATGACATCGCCAGGCCTGGCATCAAACATCCAAAAAGCTGGATCGGTCAGAACCATTTATCTATATCGACCCCCCCCAAAACTCATACCAAAGTTACTCCGGCTTCGTCAACATAAGCACATACTCCCTTGAACTCAACCCAAACCGCAAGACATCCTTATCCATAACCTCCACAAACCGGCCCGCGGGGATCCTGTCCCCATTGACCGTGGTCCCATTCGCGCTCTCCAGATCGATCACGTAGGGCTTGACGCGCCCGATCCGATCCCCGTACTCGTTCTTCTTCTCGACGAACCGGAACTGGATCGCCGCGTGCTGCTTCGAGCAGCTCGGATGCTCCAGCGGGAAATCTACGACGAGGTGCTCCCGCCCCACCAGCCAGCAGCTCCGGACGTTCAGCTCCACCATCTCCAGCAGGTCCCGGCCCTTGAACACATACAGCCGCCAGCTGTCCTTGGCCGGCGGTTTGCGGGCCTCCGGCGGTTCGTGGTATTTGAGCACGACGGTCGTGGGGCCGTTGCCGCCGCCGCCGCCGTGGACGGTGACGGTGTTGCTTTCGGCGGCGAGGCGGCCGGTCGTGCCGAAGTTGGGTTTTTCTTTTTCGACTTCGGCGGCCGGGGCTTGGGAGTCTGAGGGGGTGAGGTCGGTGGTGTAGGCGGTTTGTTGGGAGGGGAGGGGCTTGGAGGAGCGGATTGGGGCTGAGGGGGCGGCGGTGGTGGTGTGTGGACTGCGGGAGCGGGAGCGGGAGCGCGAGGGACTGTCGCGGTGTCGGCGGGAGGAAGAGGGGGGCTTGGTTCTGTCTTTGCTGGTGTCGCGATCGCGACGGCGGCGATGCGAGGTTCGGTGGGAGGAGTCTTCATTGTCGTAGTCCCGGTGTCGACGGCGGTGGCGGTCTCGGTCTCGGTCTCGATCTCGGTCGTGGTCTCGCTCGTTCCGGGGGCTTGTTGCGCGCTCTCTTCGCTCCCTGCGACGGTGGCTGTCGTCGTCCCGGCGGCTTCGCTCACGGTCGTTGGGGCTGCGCGACGAGCGACGTTGTTCGCGGCGGCGGGAGCTGTCTCTGCGTGAGCTGCGGTGGCTGTCGTGGCGGTGGGATTTGTTGTCGCGCGAGGAGTCGCGGAATCGCTCTCGCTCTCGCTCTCGGTCGCGGCGGTCGCGGCGGTCGCGAGGTGGAGCGGGCGAGCCGGAGGGCGAGCGGTGGCGCCTCCGCGGGTGAGTATCTGGTGAGTCTGGCATTGGTGTTGAATTGGTTGCTGTGTTCAATGAAGGAGATGGAGGTGTTTACAGATTGAAGATGAGCGGAGCTTGTTGAATGCCGCTGCACGTGACGGTCAACTGTGGGTCTCCGCACCGGACTGTGCTCGTCACTCTGGGCCTCACTAGCCCCGAACTTGCCGCGGTGCTTGTATCTCTTCCACTACCACTGCATACACTACAAGTCATATACAGAGTACAGTACACCCACCAACCCACCACTGCAGGAGAGAAGGAACATCCCGTCCTTTCTCTCCTACGAAACCATGCGGCCATGCCCAGGAAACCCAATCTCCTCAACCAGAGCGGCCTACAGTTCCTGAACGCAAGCTATTGCTCGCACTTCCCCGCTCGGCGGCACCATTGCCAGCGCTACGCCACCAGCAGCACCAACCCCAACCCCAACTCTCACGACCTAACATGGCCAACAAGCCCAACCTTCACCCCTTACGACCTCTTCCACCTGGACCGCAAAGCCCCCTACACGAAAACACGATACTATGAACTCGTGAAGATCTACCACCCGGACCGCTCCTCACCGAGCAGCCCGAGCAGCGGCAGCGGCAGCACCAGCAACCATCAACCACACCCCCTCCTCCAAAACCTCACCCCGGAGGTCCGCATCCAACGGTACCACCTCCTCGTCGCCGCGCACGAGCTCCTCTCCGATCCCGCCCGACGAGCAGCGTACGACCAGTTCGGCACGGGATGGAACGTCCACCGCCCGGACCGCCACCACGCTGCCGCCGACGAGCACCCCGAAAACGAGGTCCCGCCGTGGGCCCGCCCGGGCTCCAAGGACTACGGGCCCATCTTCGCCAACGCCACCTGGGAGGACTGGGAGCGGTGGCACAACCGCCACCAAGGGCGGCAGCAGCACATGGTGGACAACCGGACGTTCATCTCGTTTGTGGTGCTGCTCACGCTGCTGGGCGGGGCGCTGCAGGCGTCGTGGATCAGTCAGCTCAGCAGTGGGTATGAGGAGCGGTTGTGGGAGGTCACGGAGCAGTCGGAGCGGTTCCTGAATGGGCGCCGGGAGAAGTCGGTCGTCGCGGAGCGGGGGAAGGGGCTCGAGGAGAAGGTGCAGCGGTTCTTGTTGGATCGGGATCCCACCGGGGTGGGGTTGAAGGGGGAGGAAGGGGAGGTTTATCGGGGGTTTTTGGGGAAGAATGGTGGTCGTGGGAAGGGAGATGGGGCGAAGGTTGATGCTGATCCTGCTGTTTCTTCTGGTGGTGCTGCTGCTGCTACTACTGCTGCTGTTGTTGCTGTGAAGGACGGTGATGGGGTCCAGGATCAATCGTCTACTTCTCCATCGGGGGAGCCGGAGACGGCTCCATGAGTTAGACTTATTGTTGAGTATTTGGATAAGTCATTGGAGCAGCTTGTGGACGTTTACCGTGCATGTGGCGAGCCTTGGAGCATTTCTCGCGGCCCGACGGGAGCAAAGCTCGCCATCGCAGGCAATTAAAAAGTAGTCAATTGGTCTCTTAAGAGAGGACACAAGACAATATTCCCTGTTGCTGAAGAGTCTACTGTCAACAATTCAAACCAAACAATCACATTCAAGCATAGAATAGTAGGGACAGACTGGAGAGTTAGTAGGACAAGACCCGCCTGGTACCAGGATCACCACTGGCAGCTTCCTAACCGTGGATGTGTATTTTCAGACTCGGAGCATGCCTGGACATGATCTTACAGTTCTGCGAACAGTACGTAGTCCTGGCATAAGACTGTATCAGTTCTCCGTTGGAAGATTGTGCTGAGTTATGTGTAATCAGAGCGGACCTAGGCTTTTTGTTCTACGCATTAGTATTGGTTTCGATAAGTTTAGATCAACTATACGGAGTATACTCTTAAAGTCCATCAAAACTACTCCTAATAACAATAAGTTGTTTATACTTAATTGGAATCAAAGTAGAATAGAAGGTTACTCATTGCTTCGTCATCATCACCTAGCATAACTAACTAAGTTGTGAGTACTAGTTACCTAACTACAGCCTGACCTCAGTATGAATGGTCCTTCTACCGAAGAACAGCCGCTTCGGCCGGGGCTAAACCCGTTCCGACCACCACCGAGTTCCACACCGTAGCCTGGGCCTGCCTGATTGGGAGGTGGGCAACGATGATTAAGGGTGCGGAGACCATCTTCCGACCGTCGTGGAACAGTAATCTAGTGTGTGTGTGTGTGTGTGTGTGTGTTCACTGCAAATCCCCAGTCACTGGTGCCCGATCCTGATTACCTATTCAATGGCAGCAGGATTTTCATTCCTCCTCTTCTCCTCAACTTCTCCCCTCTCACCCAGGCGGTATCCGGTTCTGTCTTTCATTCTCATATCCTCCAGGTGAGGTCTTACGAGTCATGGCTGGCTGCCCTCTGCAGGACTTCGCCACATATCTTTGACGGGGAGTGATGTCTCCCTGATGATGCAAGTGCTACGATAGTTCTACGATGAGTGAGTCACCAGTACCAGGTGTTGAAACGTTGGATGAATTATTAATCCAAGATATACAGATTCCATCTCGCTCGCCCTCGCAAGCAGCAAGCAACCGAGCAGTTAAATACAACAAATATGCAAAACCCCACTTATCGCTGAAATGAACACGACACGACCCACGACACCATCTCTGAACCCAGAGCGCAAGAACCAACACCGAACCTCCCAAATGTGAACTCGCAACCGAGTCTAGACGTCGGTCTTGAACGAAGTGAGACGCGCCTTGATGGCCTCCTCGGGCTCATCGGTATCCAACTCCCGGAGCACACCGCTTCCGACATCATAGATCAAGCCGTGGACGCGCAGGCCCCGCTCCTGGATGGCATCCAGCACGACACTCTTCTGCTTGAGCGTCTTGACACCCTCGTGGACGTTCAGCTCGACGAGCTTCAGGTTGGCCTCGTCGGTGGGAAGCGAGTTGAGCAGGCTCAAGTGCTGCTCGCGGAGCTGGCGCAGGGGCATGAGCCACGGGTCCAGAATGCCGAGCTGCTTGTTGCCCAGGGCGGCAGCGACCCCACCGCAGCTGGTGTGGCCGCACACGACCACGTGCTTGACGCGCAGGTGCTTCACGGCGTACTCGATCACGGCCGACGAGCTGAGGTCGCTGGCGTGCAGCACGTTGGCAATGTTACGGTGGACGAAGACGTCGCCAGGCTTGAGGCCCAGCAGGGTGGTTTCAGGGCACCGCGAGTCGGAGCACCCGATCCACAGGATCTCCGGCTGCTGGCCTACGGCGAGCGTGGGGAAGAGTTGAGGGTCCTCCTTGGCAATCTTGGCTGCCCAGTCCTTGTTCTGGTGCAGAGCCGACATGAAGCGATCTGATGGGGAGGATGGCATGTTAGCACAGGCTTGTCGCCGTGTGGTTGAGAAGCAGCGGGCCGGTCGGGTCGGCGCCGCCGGGCGGGGGTGTGCAACGCGAAGGAAAGAGGAACGAAACATGCTGGCTCCCAGACGCTGTGGCATTTTTGATGTGGAATGCGATGATAGCGATCGAGGAGCTAGCCGGGTGATTTTTGTCAAGGTGGAAGAGAGAGAGTGCATTGAGGAAGACATTTGTTGGGATGGGTGGGGAACGAGGCCTGAGTCACACTCGATGCCCCGACGGTAACCAGGAACGACCGAGAGGGAACAAGGAAAAAACGATTTCGTCGATGTTCAACCCTTGAGAACAGGATGTTACACCGACTTTCGACTTTCAGGATGAAGACTGCAGCGTGGATACAAAATGAAGCAGCAGGTGCAGAGTTCCGCAGGGGAGGGGAGAAGGAGGTGGGAGGTGAAAAGGCAAAATTGGCGGGCGGTCGCCGATTTCGCAGGGCACGTTGAGGATGAACTTCGTTCTTGGCATCTGTGGTACAAGGGTTTTGCACTCACCTGAGGTGGAAGCCATGGTTGTTGGTGCTACTCAGGGTAACTGATGAGAGGACTGGCAAGGACTGGGATCGCAAAATGAGGAGTATATGAGGATCTTGAGGGAAAAAGCTGACGAGGATGTGGTCGCAATTTGCTTGAGGCGCGGCCAACTCAGTCTCGTCTCCTTTCGGGTATCCGGCCTGCAAACCACTCAAACCGGGTCACGTGGCTTACCGGGCCACCGGCAATGTCCGCTGTCAGATGCTCCCTGCCCTCGCTTGCGCTCACTTGCAATCACTTGCAACCACTGTGACACTGTCATAAACCTTGATCCTGAGCAAGGTCAGGCAACGGGGCGTCGACGGGATGTCTTTGCAGGGGAGGATATTGCGTAGTTGTAGGGGTTGTAGGGGCTGTAGTGTCGTAGAACAATCACCCTTCTACTTGCTAACCGAGACCCGTATCTGGTGTGGTCTGATCGGATCTCAGATTCACCAATGGCGAGCCCCCATTACTATGCACGCCACGCCGGGGAAACACTGTTATCGAGGGGATATATCCCTCATGGCCATGCGCTTGGGATCTGATACTGGATCAGGAGATCTAATCTATTCGCGTGTATCTCCAGCAAATGGCCGTTCGAAGGGCGACCAGGTGCTTTGGAATGAGGGTTTTCTACGAATGTTCTCCTTTTTGCGAGTACCCTTGGCTGTTACGTATGAGATTGAGCGGTTCATCCGAGCCAGCGGAGTCGGAGTCACCCACCCACGGGCCCACTCCAGAAGAACGCCTGTTCTCGCTACGGCACGACGGCCACTCTACTCCGTGAGCCCTTCGAAGCGACTCTCCTTAATGAAGCTTCGTAAATATTCAGCTGTGCCCAGTGAACGTGTCAGCTGTATGGTCCCAGAATGCAAAATAGTATCTACATCTTGCCATTCGCATCGAAGCCATCATCTCCCAGCTCAGGTAAACCCCTTAGTTGTTCATAATGGTCGATAGCCAACTGGCGACCCCTTCGGTACGAGTCCGCAACGGACCGCTTCACCGCCCCCGGCGATAAGCGGCAATAAGCTCTGCACACGTGATGCAAAATAATCACTGGGGGGCGGCGCTTTTTTCTCTTCCGGGACAAGAAACTTGCAAGCCCGGCGCAGCACCACATCACCATTTCTTCTCAGGCTGTCCCACTTTCGATACACGCCATCACCATGGCTTTTCGGGCAAACTCTGGAACTCTCCGGAGATGGGGCCTGGGGTCCCGGTCTCGGTGGGTGGGGAGTGTTCGTGGATTGGCGACTGTGACAGATGCCGCGCGGTATGGATGATTTTCGATCAATTTTGTTCACCCGCACTTGCGTTCGCATACTAATTTCTATTTATCTGGGTGTAGAGGATACGATGTCGTCGTCATCGGTGGCGGACACGCAGGTGCGGAAGCGTGTGCGGCGGCGGCACGCTCCGGCGCACGAACGGCGTTGATCACCCCCTCGCGCTCGAATATTGGGGTTTGCTCGTGTAATCCGAGTTTTGGCGGCATTGGCAAGGGCACGATGATCCGCGAGGTGGACGCGATGGACGGTGTGGCCGGGCGTACCATCGACAAGGCCGGAGTGATGTTCCGGACGCTGAATCGGTCGAAAGGGCCCGCCGTTTGGGGCCCGCGCGCGCAGATCGACCGCGACCTCTACAAGAAGTATATGCTGGAGGAGCTGAGTTCCACCAAGGGGCTGAGCATTGTGGAGGGCATGGTGGGCGATATTGTGGTGTCGAAGGAGGGTGTGGAGGATGTGCCCGGGATGGCGCAGGGGAAGATTGTCGGGGTGCGGTTGGAGTCCGGCGAGGTGATCGCGACGAGTCGCGTGGTGATCACGACGGGCACGTTCCTGGGCGGGGAGATTCATATCGGGCTTGAGGCGTATCCCTCGGGGCGGATGGGCGAGGCGGCGACGTTTGGGCTGAGCAAGTCCCTCCGTGAGGCGGGGTTTCAGCTCGGTCGGTTGAAGACGGGGACGCCGCCGCGGTTGGATCGGAAGACGATCGACTTTGCGCCGTTGGAGGTCCAGGAGGGTGATCACCCGCCCCAGCCTTTCTCGTATCTGAATGATGCGGTGCAGGTTGGCGATGCGGGGCAGCTCAACTGCTGGATGACGTACACCAATGAAGCCGTGCATGATATCGTGCGGGCCAACCTCGACAAAACGATTCACATTCGCGAGACGGTCAAGGGTCCGCGATACTGTCCCTCGTTGGAGTCGAAGATTATCCGCTTCGGACACAAGGACCGGCACATGATCTGGCTTGAGCCGGAGGGATTCGCGCCCAACGATGTCATCTACCCCAACGGTATCTCGATGACCATCCCCGCCGACGCGCAGTATGCCATGCTCCGCAAGATCCATGGGCTGGAGAACGTGACCATGCTGCAGCCGGGCTACGGGGTGGAATACGACTACATCGACCCGCGCAACCTGTGGCCGACGCTGGAGACCAAACTGATCAGCGGGCTGTATCTGGCCGGCCAGATCAACGGCACGACGGGGTACGAGGAAGCCGCCGGTCAGGGTATCATCGCTGGCACAAATGCCGGCCTGTCCGCGCAGGGCCGCAAGCCGCTCACCCTGCGCCGCTCCGACGGGTTCATCGGCATCATGATCGACGACCTCATCACCAAGGGCGTCTCCGAGCCCTACCGCATGTTCACGACGCGCAGCGAGTACCGCATCTCGACGCGCGCGGACAACGCCGACCTGCGCCTCACGCGCATGGCCCGCGAGGCCGGCGTGGTCTCCGACACACGCTGGCGCCAGTTCACCGAGACCGAGGCGCAGATCCAGGAGCTGCAGTCCCTGCTCACCAACACCCGGCTGTCGTCCTCCGCCTGGGCCCGGCTTGGCTTCCCGTCCCGCATCGACGGGTCCGTCCGCTCCGCCATGGACATCCTGTGTCTTCAGGAGACGGGGATTGACTCGTTGATCCCCCACATCGAGTCCCCGACGGGCACCGTCTACAATGCGAACTCGTTCGCCCCGGAGATCCGGACCCGCGTCGCCATCGAGGGTCGGTACGCGCCCCACGTCGCGCGCCAGGAGGCTGCGGCTCGCAAAGCTCTGCAGGACGAGAACCTGCTTCTCCCGCCGGACATGAACTACAAGGCGGTCCATGGTCTCAGCGCGGGCGAGGTCGAGGTCCTGACTCGCATTCGCCCGGTTAGCGTGGGGATGGCGCGGCGACTGGAGGGCGTGACTCCTGCGGGAGTGCTGAGGGTTCTGATGTATGTGCATCGGTCCGGGACGGTGGGTCGCACGCCTGTGGCGGCGGAGGGGCTGGAGGAGACGCCTGAGGATGTCCTGACGCAGGCTCCTTGATTGGGGGGGTGTTTAGGGCGTGGGGATATTAAATGTACATTTCATGGGTCTGTAACATAGATAGCGACTTCACTACGGCATTTCAGGATGGAGTTAGGCTTTGCATGGCTGGGAGGGTTATTATGCTTCTAATGGATTTTTTTCATTATTCTATCCTTTGTTTGGGCAGGATGTATGCTCAGGGCGTGCGGGCTTCTGGGTATAGTTTGTCTGCCCCCTCCCGAATCTGGACTAGAAGGCAGTTGACATCAACATCGCGCAACCCATCCATCCACCGCGTAAGTTCTCACATTGAGGGAGTCAGTCAGCTATACCAACCATTAACCATCAATCCAGCGATGCACTCAGCGAGTCCATACGTTTGGAAGTCAAATAGCTATACTGAGCATCAACCACCACGAAGTCAAGAAATCGTTTCCATGTCGCATACTCCTGAGCTTTATCCAGAAGCCTGGTATAAGTTTTATCCAGTATCCCGCATGCACTGCAGATACTCTATCCAACCTTTCCTGTCTACATCAATAATCCGGCCTCTCCATCAAGAACGCATTGACCGACTGCAAGGTCGAGCGCGAGGGGTTCGCATCCGGCTTGCACAGGGTGATCCAGGCCAACCGCTGCCGAATGAACTGCTTGCCGATACTCTTCCTCTCAGTGGGGGTGAAGTTTCCTAGCACCAAACATGGTCAGCCAACCCCCATGCCTCCCATCAACACAATTCAACCGATGGGAAACTCACCCTCGTCATCATAATACAAACACAGAATCGCCAACAAGGCGCCAACCGACAGATCCCGGCCCGACTCGCACACCACCAGCACCGACGCCTCCGGGGTTTGCAACAGATGCTCCCTGACGAACTCCCGCACGCGGTCGAGGTTCTTGCGCAGATCCCGACTGCCCAATTTCGCCGGTCCGCAGCCCAAATCCAGCCTCCTGCCTTGCGCAGCCGTCGTCTCCTCGTCAGCCGGAGCGTCAGACTGGACGGGTCTGGCATTACAATCCACCACCAGATCGAACCCAACCCCACCCTTTGTGTCTGCAAAATCCCCCGCTCGCCCCAGAAACAGATTCCTCGTGGGAGCAATCCGCACCGCCTTCCCTTCCGCCCCCTGCTCGTGCCCACCGGGAGGAGACCTCCCCTTCTTCTCCCGCGCCAGCAACTCCGCAATCAACCCGGGAATATCCTCCTCATTCCGCCGCAGGAGCTCGTCCTTGTGCGCCCAGAACAGCGGGGCCGTGAGCCCCAGCGCCCAGCTTTCGCTGTCGTCCCCGGCGCCCTGGATGTACCCGCCGGCGGAGATCTCGGCGCCGTGCACGCGCTTCGAGGCCGAGCACAGCACGAAGAGGTTGTATTCGCCGTCCGGGGAGGCAGTGAGCGTGGTCGGGTGGAAGTAGGCTCTGTTGGCCCAGGCGAGGCGGATGGGGCGGGCGAGTTGGGTGCGGAGGGTGGGGAGGGAGAGGTTTAGGTTCTTTTTTGGGGGTTAGTATACCCTACTTTCATTGGGGGGGTATAGGAGAGGTAGGTAGGGGAGGGAAGTAGAAGACGAACCAGCAAGTCCCTAACGAAGCCGTCGATCCGCCGCTCGATCTGGGATTCTTCCGAGGCCGGCAGGAAGTTCGGGGGGAATTGCACGGGGTGGTAGGCTTGGGCGTCGGGGAAGAGGGCGCGGTTGAGCACGGCCGTCCAGATGGGGATTGTTTTCGACAGGGCGTCGGGCATTACTATCCTTCATCATTACTCTATTCTCTCGTGACGGGTGTCGTGGTCATGCTAGTGTCTGACTCGACTTATGTAGAGGAAAGGGGGGTGGGTAAAAGGGCAAGGCAACGCAGGGGCACTTACATTTACCCCGCCGCGTCGAATCTACGATTATGCATCTATACCCCTCCCCCGCGAAGGTCTTAGCATCCATCTGCACCAGAACACAATATCTCTAGTCCAAGGGAGGATAGACTAACCCCCCATACTGCCCCGCCACGCCCAACACCTGCAGATTGAGTCTACGCGAGCTGAAATCCCACACCCCGGTGTGTCCGTCTGTGCTCTTGAAGTACACACTGCCCGTCTTGTCGCGCGGCGCAATGTACCAGCTGCCGCATCGCTCATTGGCGATCAACGGGAGGGCGTAGTGGTCGCGCACCTCGGCCACGAACTGCGCGTCCGTCGCGATGCTGGTCAGCCGGTTGGTCACGGTCAGGGCGGAGCGGCGCAGCGCCGTCAGCGTCTGGCTGATGGATTGCTGCTCGGAGGAGGGGAAGTGGAGGGCGGCGAGGGAGGAGGGGAACGAGGGGTCCATTTTGTGGTTGAAAAGAATGGAGATGATATGGAGGATTGGAGATGGAGGGGTTGAGCTCCGCGGTTTGCGACGGAGGGGTATTTTTCTCGGTGCCTGAGTCCTCAGGTGTTAGTAGGTCACGTGGGATAAGAGATAAGCCGTGGCAGAAAGCTTGGCTGTTAGTAAAGGTCAAGATGTGCAACTGGACGGGTAGATCGGCATGCCGAGATACGAAATGCTTGTTTGATCGGGTAGGCCGGATAAATGTAAGGCTGTAAGGGTATTAATTGTACTTATGAGTTAAGTAGCAGGAGTCCGTAACATTTGATTATTATTATAAGAAGTCTGGAAAGATTATTAATTGATTTTTTTCGGTTAATCTATCTGTCATACCTGACTACTCTATCCTGCAGTTCCAAACAGCTAACAATGTTTAAGAAAATTTCTTAATCTTAACCTGACCGCCGGTTAACGGTCGGGTTACAGTTGAGGTATGACGGTCAGATATAGCCACTCTAGAAGTTACTTGTATAGCCAACATCCCAGTTAACGAACTTGCTCAGGTATAAGAGTATTGAGAACTGAATTGAATCTTAATACAGCGACGACGCGGTAACCACTAGTCAAGGTGGAGATGGGCCCCAAGAGAAGCCATCCTTTTTAATAATCTTAAGATTCTATTAACAACAGACTGTAATATTAGGCACTTCGTCCTCACCGTTGAGAATGCGCGTGCGGTACCAGTTCATCGGGCCGTGCAGACCCGTACGGGAGTACTCTTGGACTGTGTCGTGTCAGTTGAGCTGGGCAGGTCACACTGGGGGAGGAAACCAATGGCGGCTGAAGTCTCTACTATAAAAGGTCCAGCATCTCCTCCTCCACCAACGGGGAGGGTCCGACCTGTGGCAGGCGCTCCGCGATCACGCCGACGCGGACATGGAACCCCGGCTCGCCCCCGGACGTCAACCCCACCGAACATGCTGCGCAGGAATCCACGGAGGTGGGCGGGTGACTGGGACGCGGCTGCCTCAGCACTGCCTGCTCGATCCCAAGATCCTCATTGAAGGCCCGGCGAAGATGTCGTGGAAGTGGGCCACCATCGGATCGACGTCCACGGCGGCCCCCGTGGCCCGCCTCAACAGGGTCTGCATCAGCGATTGGGTGCAACTGTGCACCCCATCTGGCCCAACCAAGCATCGAAGATCACACGAGGAAGACCCTGCTACACGTGGCCAATCTCGGGGGAGACTCAGCTCTTGTGGAGATGCTGCTGGAGGGTGGCGCAGACATACATATGGGCATTAGAAACTGAGGCTGTACATCTTGCCATGCCTCCGACTGCATGCATTCACACATGCCCATCCCAAGGCTTCCCTCCTCCCTCTCTGACACGTCATTTTGAGAACTGCTGGGTTAGGAAGACCCATGGTCCTATTGCTTCGTCGCCCGCATCCTGAGCGGGTGGCGGGCGTCAAGCACTGGAGTGACTGGCTTACGTTCCATGACACCACTTAGCCTCAATTCCATCAACTACTGCATGGTTGCCTGCCTGTATCACCCGTCAGTATGACGGCCCAACAACAAAACAGGGGAGCAGGAGGTAAACAGTGCTTGCCCGCCTTAACTCCGGCCGCGGTTCGGGGCTAAACAGTTCATATCGCCGACATCTCCCCATAGCATTTCTAGACTAATACTTGACTATATGATATTCTCTCCCCTCTCGTTACATCCACGTCGATATACTTTTACATACAATTCTTCCAGTTGGCCTTATCATGTCAAACCTTACTCCGGCTGCTATTGAAGGGCGGGCGACACAGGGAGCATTCTTGAAACGCCAGCTTTTTAACGAACCGCCCGCCACCTCGCGCCAGCAGGTCGACCTTACAGGGCAGACTATCATTGTTACCGGGGCTAATACTGGACTAGGCTTGGAGTGCAGCAAGCAGCTGCTGGAGCTGGGGCTGAGCCAGCTGATTCTTGCAGTCCGTAGTGTAGCCAAGGGGGAGGAGGCTAAGCAGCAGCTGCTGAACCAGTACCGCAAACAGCAGAGTGACAGCAGCAAAGTTCAGGTGGAGGTATGGCCGCTGGACCTGGCCAGCTATGAGTCGGTTCTGGCCTTTGTGGAGCGCACCAAGACGTTAGACCGACTGGACGTGGTAATCAACAATGCGGGAATCTCCAAGCGAACTTTCACGCCCAATGTCTTTACAGGCCACGAGGAGTCGGTTCAGGTCAATTTTATTTCTACTGCGCTGCTGACTCTTCTTCTTGTTCCTGTACTACAGGCGAAGAATCCCCCGCACCGGCCTGGCCGCATTACCATTGTCAGCTCTGATACCTCTGCATGGGCGAAGTTCAAGGAGCAGGACATCCGTCCTCTTCTGGCTGGTCTCGATGATAAGGTCTTCTTCTCCGAGGATCGCTACGCCACCTCGAAGCTTCTGGGCCAGTTCTTCATCTACGAACTCACCAAGCGCATTTCCTCGTCTGTTGTCGTTATTAATGGGCCTAATCCAGGCTTGTGCAAGTCGGGCCTCGTCCGCGAGTACCGCGGCACCTTCATCGGCTTCATCTTTGGCATTATGGAGGCTATTCTTGCCCGAAAGCCTGCCATTGGCGCGCGTGCCCTCACCGACGCCGCTGTTAACCACGGACCCGAGAGCCATGGCCAGTATATCGAGGACGGCAAACTTGCGGCGTAAGTGATTCGATTCTGTCTCTCTTGGTCCAAGCGGATCATTGGCTAACCAGTGCATTCAGCTGGGCGCCCATCTTGTATAAGTCCAAAGGCGAGAAGATTCGCAAGCAACTGTGGGAGGAACTGATGGGTGAACTGGCGTTTGCTAAGGTGGAAGACATCCTTAGAGACATCAGCGTATAGTTTACATTCCTTGCTTTGTCCCCTTGGTAACCGGTAGGAAAGCAGTTGCGCGCCTACCCAGACATCATCAAAGCATAAAATCTGCTTGACAAAACTTTACCTTAATGCTTGTAAGTCTCAAAAATATGTTTATATCTATTTTGGGGCCAAATAATCATCAAAATACGACTTAGTGTTTATAAACAGTCAGAAAGATCACAGGTACTCCGGCGGTGTTGAAGTAAAATGTGTAAATTTATTTATATACAGTTCGAATAGATTGTATAACCAGTACTAATAAGCTCACATAAGCTTACAAAATAACGGTTACTTTCTTCAATGTTTATTTGCAAGCAATTCGGGATCGCTTCGAAATTACTTCAAACATGCACTCCGATGCTTTTTCTATACTCCAGGCCGCTCGGTAAGCAAAAAGCGGCGTCAGCTCGATTTCCGCAGGAATCCAGTTCAATAGTAGTCTCATGCCCGGTTGTGAGCGATAAGCGATACTTGGATTGATCCGCCGCGCCGCATGTGCCTGGCCTTGTGATCCCCACTCGTGCCCTAACCAGCTGGTGACATCACCCATCCTTCGCCATGGTCGACAACACAACGTCACCGTCTGCAGCGTAGTCAAGAACCCAATCTGAAATCTCGGCCGATTACTTTGTGTGCCAATGACCTCAACTGTCTTACTCTCCAGTAGGCCCAAACCGTATGAACGGTATAAGAACAACCATCTAAGCCAGTGTAACCACCTATACCCCATACATACCACATACCACGTCCAACGCATCAAAATGACCCCCAACCCAACGCCCTACACCTACGAAAACGCCATCTACAGCGCCGGCCTCGGCGACGAGCGCCCGCGCTTCCCCCCGCACCCGCACGACTGGGAACCCACGGCGAAATCCCGCCTGTCGTCGGACAGCTTCGGCTACGTGCACGGCTCCGCGGGCACCGGCCAAACGGACGCGAACAACCGCGCCGCCTTCGGGAAATGGAACCTGGTGCCCTCGCGCCTGGTGCCGAGCGACTACCCGGATTTAAAAGTGAACCTCTTCGGCGAGGAATACCCCTACCCGATCGCCATCGCGCCGGTCGGCGTGCAGAAGATCTTCCACCGCGACGGCGAGGGCGCCGTGGCGCGCGCCGCCGCCGAGGACCACGTGCCCTACATCCTCTCGACGGCGGCCTCGACCAGCATCGAAGACGCCGCCGCGGCCAACGGGCCCGCCGGGAAGCGGTGGTTCCAGCTGTACTGGCCGCTGAACGAGAACAACGACATCACCGCCAGTCTGCTGCATCGCGCCCAGGACGCGGGCTTCAAGGTCTTGGTCGTGACTCTGGATACGTATATCCTGGGCTGGCGGCCGAGCGATCTCAGCAATGCATATAACCCGTTCCTCCGGGCGGATAGTATCGGCGTGGAGCTGGGGTTCACGGATCCCGTGTACCGGCGGAAGTTCAGGGAGAAGCATGGCAAGGAGGTCGAGGAGGATCTGGGCGCCGCGGCGCGCGAGTGGGCGCATACGGTCTTCCCCGGGCGGAGTCACGGGTGGGAGGATCTGGAGTTCCTGAAGGAGCACTGGAAGGGGCCGATCGTGTTGAAGGGGATTCAGACCGTCAAGGATGCGGAGTTGGCCGTCCAGCATGGCATGGATGGCATTGTCGTCTCGAATCATGGCGGGCGCCAGCAGGACGGCGGCGTCGCCTCGTTGGAGGTCCTCCCTGAGATCGTCGATGCGGTGGGCGACAGGATTGAGGTGCTCTTTGATTCCGGGGTGCGCTGTGGGGCCGATATCGTCAAGGCGCTGGCGCTCGGGGCGAAGATGGTGCTCATCGGGAGGCCGTACGTTTATGGGTTGGCCATGGGGGGTCAGGCCGGGGTCAGCCATGTCTTGAAGTGTCTCTTGGGCGATCTGGATCTGACGCTGCATTTGTCGGGCGTGCCTTCGGTGCGGAAAGAGCATTTGAATCGGTCGATTTTGAGGGAGTCGAAGTAGATCGACCGTGTGACCCCGTGCATTTATACTTCGTTATGTATTATAGACTCTACACAATTTTATGTCAATAAATGATTAACATATTACTGTGCTTGTCAGATGGTTTTGCAAGACATCAAAACTTTTTCTATCCGCTAATAATATACATGCTCTCTCCGCGGTGACTATGTACAGATGGGAAAGCCGCATTGTTCATTATTCCATCACATCCGCTCATTCATCACGAACTGGTGGCAGATGCCTTCTGAGCATTCTCCTCGGCCTTAGCAGCGAACTTGGCTCGGGCCAGTTCGATCCGTGACTTGGGACGCTCGCCCGTGCTGTTGACAGCATCCAACCCCTTGGCCTTGGCAGCCCACTCGCCCCGGCGTCGCTTGTACAGATCCATCGACCAGTTCCTCCACACGGCCCGACCCACAAACGAGTCGCGCAGGGCCATCTCGTTCTGCGCAAGCTCTTGCGCCATCCGCTCCTTGACGAAGAAGACATCCTTTGTTGCGTGCCACAGGGCGTCCACCACGCGCGATCCGCTACTGTCCAGAGCCAGATCCTTGAGCTGTCCGGTGAAGCGGGTGACCAGCTGGCGGCGGAATTGAGTGGTCGAGGTGGGCAGCGTGAGCGCTTGCTGCAGGACATGCGAGGCAGTGGGGTCGGTAGCGATCTTGATCAGAGACTCCGTCGACTGCGCCAGCAAGCCAGAGTACACCAGCCCGCTCAACGCTCCTGGGGCAGTCAGCATCGTCTGCGCGAACAGGGAGCTGTGCAATCGAGCCGCTGCGAGAGCCTTCTGGTTGTTTGGGGCGCTGGTTCCCTCCTCGCCGTATCTCGGCTGCTCCACATCATCCTGAGAGAAGCCCTCCAGCCACAGCATCTTATCCAGACGGCGAGCGGGGTCGCGGTCGTAAGCAGCTTCCAGAGCACGGGCAATGGGGGCGGTATCGACCCCACGGATCAGACAACGCTCGATCAGGGCCTTGGGCACGATCAGTCGGGACCGCTCAATGAGACCAGAGATCTGGGGAACAATCAAGTCGACCGCCTCTTTGAGATCATCCTTGCCAAGACGCTCGAGGATACGCAGAACGACATATCCAGCGGTGATGTTGCGTGCAAGCGAGCCCATCTGTTCGCGCATGAGGTTCTTGTACAGCGCCTTGAACAACTTTCCGGGCAGGCACTTGACGATGGTTTCCAGTAGTCGCGATCCGACCGGGTCGTACAGCAACCCACGGACGAAGATGGTGCTATCAGAGCCTTCCGTGAATTCTTCGTCGGGGATCAATCGTCTCGTGATCGACTTGGGGTCCTTCGCGCTGGACTTCCCAAAATGCGACAGCTCCAAGTACACCAACACTTGCAGCACCGGGTTTCCAACCGGGTGGGTGGCCAGTGCGCGGAGATACGTATCATCCAACACAGACACCATATCTTTCATGACCTTCTTCAGGGTGGCCTCGAACGTCTCCGGGACGCCTCTCTTCTGCGCCACAGGGTTCTCCTTCGGCGTATCGGTGTTGGCAAGACCCAATCTCTCCTTCTTCCGACTAGCGACAACGGAGTCGCTCAACGACAGATCCACCGGTTCTCCCGCCAAGACCAGCAGGAGGACTCTGATCGTGTGCGACGCAAACCTCTCGGTCAGCAGGTATCCCCAGTTTCCTTGCAGTTCCTCCACCACCGTCATGAACATCTCAGCCAGCGACAGCTCGGGCTCGGGCTCCTCGTCCTCCTCTCCGTCCACCTCCATCTTCTCCGCCTTAGGCTTCGATGGCTTCTGCGTGACGCCGGGCGCGGCGTTGATGAACAGGGTCTCGCAGCAGTGACTGGCGAATCGGTGCTGGACGAGGTGCAGGAAATGGCCGATAAACTTGTTGAACAGGCGTCGGATCTGGCGCATGTCGGACAGTGAAATGAGCTTCTCCATCAGCCGCGAGCACGACTGGCTGCACGCAATCTTCAATTCCTTGCCCCGGGCCTCCGTGTACACACTCTCAATGAACACCCGCCGCTCCTCCTCGTCGCCGAACTGGTTCAGTTCCAGCACCTCGCTGGCGCGGGAAAAGTATTCCTGTTCCTCGGGGTCCAGGAGACCGAAGAACACCGTCTCGCCGGAATTGCCAATCTCCTGGTCGAAGCCCTCCTGCTCGGCTTGTTGGTCGTATGCTGGCTCGGCATCCAATGCGATGTAGTCGGCGCCCTGGGTGAAATCGTCGTTGGCGGGCTCGTCGTCGGTCGACGGCTTCATGCGCTTGGGCAGGGTCTCTTCGGGGACCTCATCGCGTTTGCGCTTGGCGGCGTCCTTGCTGGCCTTGTCGGCGGCCCGACGACCTCTCTTCTGATTCTCACGCGGCATTTTTGACTGACCTTGGTTGAATGGAGAGGCTTGCGATCGACAGTCGGGGGCAGTTTTTTTTTCTCCGGCGGAAACCCAGCGGTGGTCCAAGCGTCTCCGCGGGTTGTTTGCCGCGTTTGCAGGGCGAGGCCAGGCCAGGCGGTCAGGCGCAGATTTTTGAATTGTTTGCTGCGTATCACGTGCACTCCGTCATTTCGACGATACTGCTTCCTTTCTGCAAGGCGAAATATTCAACTGTTGGTCGCCATCTTTACTCAGCGATCATCAGCACTTCAAATTGACCCTTTTTCTTTGGTCCTTACTCTGATCGAGTCATCTGTTTACTTTCAAACCACATATATCTCACAAAAGCCTTCAGAACACCAAAATCCCGGTCGTCCAACCCGACCATGCTGAACAGAGCTCTTCTCCGAACGTCCTGGTTGCGACAGGCGATCATCAGCGCACCACGCTCCTCGATCAGCGCAACAGCAGCCTCAGCCCCGCGCTTCCCAACCCTCTACGCCACCACCAGACCTCTCACCTCCGCCCCCTCCCGTCAATCCGAACACCCACCCACGACACCCTCAACTCCACCGTCCGAGACAGCCGAACTCCCATCGCAAGACCCCGAACCCGCCACCACCACCACAACCACCGCCCCCGAACCCCCATCCCAC